ACTTGCAGATGTTTCTGAATCTTTTAATGGTTCGTTGAGAGAAAACATGCTCATCAGATGGCACCAATCACTTTGTTGATTATTCGAAAGAGAACTTCACCGGATGCTAGGGGACGCCGTGGTGCAAATGCGAGATTTCTTGTTAGCTGGTGCAATATGCATGCCCGTGGGAATATGACCATGTCGAAGCACTGCGACAAGTATTTTAAAAAATGATCGACTGCCATCATCAATCGTTTGTGGCAGGCTGACTGGTTACTTTCACAATGGCTGTCGCCTGCAAATTTTTGTCAAACGCTGCCGTGCTGGAGTTATTTATCCTGAAACATCCTGCTCTGCATTCAGATTAGAATTAGTGGTGATTCAAGCAATGTAAATGTTCGTGACACGGGGCTTGTTGTTCGAGGTGCGTACATGTTCAAGACAAAAACGATGTGCTTCTTAATGCTGAACCACTGCAGCATTACGGGTTTTTGCCTGCACCAGATTATACGGCATGGACGCACTGTCCAGGTGTGAGCAACGGTATTTAAGCTGATTAAGACTCCAGTTTACTATAGTATTGATAGCTCATTAATGGAAAACCTCAGCACTTATCAACATATTCGAATACTAACCGAAATAACGTTATCTGCAGCTGTTGATATGATTCCGCTATGATCTATAATATCTGCTTTGAAACTCCCTTGGACATCTCTAAGCGTAAGGGAATGGTGTGATTATTTAGTTCAGTGTAGTTTTCTTTATGGGTCAGACTGCATCCGGGCTAAAACGCTTGAAGACTTAGGGAACATATGAATGAACATTTGACGTATATTTACAAAATGCGTATGAAGATTAAGTTGTCAGAGAATCGACTCCTGCCCATTTTCAGGATTCATGAAACATTCATTTGACGATAATGAGCAGAGCCGATCGTCTGTAAGCTTCCATACTGGATACAGCAGATCTGAATTGGTCTCTGGTTGACTGCTGCTTACACCGGCTAGCTGCTGATACATCTTAGAAATGATGGTTTGTTTCGTACAATATCTTTACACCTTGTTAGGCTACCGATTCAGCCTTTTTCTAGCGGTATTATCGGTCTCTCCCTTCGGATATAGATTACCAAGCAAAGTTGCCATTTCAGAAGCTCTCCGCAACATTGACCACTCGTTCTGGGTCAAGTTAGGACTGGTTCTGCATATTGAGTTAGAGGCAGTACGCATGTCTTCGTAAATTAGCGTAGAGTCTTTGACTGTACCTGAATTTTTTTCGGTCGCCAGAGGAACGAGACAGCTTTACGTGCTTTCTGAGCTTCGCTTGCTATGTGCTCCACCCACTGCTTCTCGGTCCTTCAAGATAATGGTAAGGTACTTGACTTATGATTTCCCCACAGCATCTCACGACTCACGATTGTTAGATCTTGACCTAAGCTTAAATTCATTTTATTTTTGAAATGGGTGTGATGAGGCATCTCATCCTTTGATTCAGATGAATTCGCTTTGAGTCGGGCTGTGTTGTCCCAGCTACAGTTTTTTTTCGGTTATTACTCAACCATGTAATGTCTTCATGATTCTCGACACCTGCCGCTACAGATGTATCATCAGCGTATTTGAGACAGGTGGCTCCCACTTGGCTTCTGCACTTACTGACATAGAAGGCAAATAAAGCAAGCGACCTCACAGTCAACATTTACATCACTCTTCTTAATCTCCCTGCACAGACGCACTGTGTAATATCTCTGAAATGTCGTTAAATTCGTGATACGCCGATGTGGACTCCTGCATCCGTGACATTTTGACTTTGAAGTTAAACATTAGACATCTTGACTGTTCAAGTCGGTTCTCTTTCTAGCCCACATTCTGGTGTAGTTTTGCATCCATGTGTGCTGCAGATTCTATAATATGGTGGAGCTGTGGTTTTATTTAATGGATTCCCATTCTTTTAATACCATAGAGTCATTGCAATTGAAACCAAGTTCATAAGATTGCTATACCATCAGCTTGCTTTAGTTCTTGAACGCACTTCACTACTTTATGTATATGATTTGATTTAAATACGGCGACTGTTTCGCTACATGTATTAATCACATAATTAATTCCAATGTATTTCTGATGACTGATTTACTAAACTTAGCGATTCGAAACAAAACTTTTTTCCTGTAAAAATCAGCATATTTTCGAATTCCAAGCTTGCAACGCTGAGGACATTTTCAACGCTGCAAATCGACGGTGTGATACATCCTATAGCTTTATTTGAAAATTATTTTTTGGATTAAACTTAATGCTTCGTTTAAAGAATTGCGAAGGGTACTTGCCCATGATAGTTATTTTGTCATCGTTACACCATTTGGCTGCTTAACGGCAGCCCTTGACTGACGCACTCAGCTTTATTTAAATACTGAGCTGATCTGAAATGTTTTATTAAAATTCATAAAACACAAGAGAGATGGAAACGCTCTGATAATTATGTACATTTACGTTGATTTGTTTGCATTCGTTTGGTTTCAAAACTGTTCATTTTAGTTCTTCTGCGGCTTGGCTTTTCTTGCCTATGCGATTTGCGCCTTCCTATTGTTTCGCGGCTGGAACTTAACGGTTTACACGTCAACTGCTCAGCGTACTGTTACCGTTACATCCACGACGTCTAGATATTAATTAAATAATGTTTGCTGATTCATCTATCTATATATAAATTATATGTATTATTTCGTTTGTATATCATGCTTATTCCAGGCGTTTGTTATTGTCTTGGATTGCAACCAACCCCACGTTTCTTCTAAGTCGTAATTTGCATTTGATTAGTATAGACTCGTGAATTCTGCTTCTTTTTCTTCTACTGCTCTATGTATGTCACATGCATATGTGCATATTCTGTGCTGTTTTTCTTTGCGTTTGCTTTGAAATATTTATTGTAAATTATTCTTATTTTTTACTGTTTTCTGATAGCCCATTTCTCGTTGAAAGTCAGCATCAACATCAGTGTTTTCAAAACCGGCCCGGTTGCGTGTGAACTGAGAACAACAGTAACGTGCAAATTTTTATAAGCGGTTTGGCAGAGACAGTAAGTTATGAAACTTCTCTCGTACATAGGTTGCCAGCTTTAAGCACTACCAGTTTATTCGGATTAAGCGCTGCTTACTGTATATTACAGATGATATGTCGATTCAGTGCTAGGTATGAATAGAGCCCGCATAAAATGCTGTAGGAGCAACAGACATAATTTCCCAAGTCATTTGCAGTAGTATCATAAAAGTTTACTTACAATTATTGCCTAAAACCTGGAAATTACCGTTTGAAAGAATACTAGTACTAAAGTTCAGATGAGCTACGGACTCTTAAAAAATGAATTTATCGTTCTACATGTCATCGGCATTGCCCATTAAGTAAACGCGCTCTCGTACTGGCCGAAGTAGCATTGTTTGATGCTCTGCGGTATGTTGACACTTTGTGAACCTTAAATTAGTGAATATTCTCTATCTTAGTTCGTGCAATGATGAACTGAAATCGTTCGTTCGATCAAGTTGGATATGAGGAATACCAACTCCTGAAGCATCATTCGTGATGAAGGCGAGGTGGCTCTTGCAGGCTGATTGATGCGAGGCAGATATAGCACTGAAGGTACTTAAATATAGTGGAGTTGTGGATGGCCTAAATTCCCTCCCCGTGCAAATAGGAACAAGAAGACAGTGCGATGCACCGTAAAAGCTAGTACTGTATGAGTTCTTATTTGATATTCTCAGGCGAACATAATGCTTATGGTATTTATGCACTAGCGCTGTTACGTTATGTTGATATCCACTGCTTCTCTTTTTTCTTCTTGCCTTCCATGAATGGCAGATAATCCGCTATTTAATTAGAATTGGGATTGCGGGAGATTCTTCTATAATGGTCTTACATCAGATATATGGCGTTTCATCTTCAATAATTTTTTTCTTGAGCTTAATCCAGGCTTTCTTCGCATCTGACCAGACGGCAGACCTTTCTTCAATTGAGCCTCGCGATATCTTGCACTTCAATGGCATTACAAAGTTACACGAAAGAAGAAGTGGTGTTACAGGTTAAAGTGGTTGCGTCATGTTCTGTAGAAGATTGACAAATCGAAGTAAATGAGGTGTAGGGTTAGTTATTCATACAAACATACAACATTACAAAACAGTGAAATACAAATGGACAACACTTAAAGTGCCGTGAAGTGGTTAGGACAGTTTCAAAAGATATGAGTTTCGAGTGATCCAAGCTTATGCTTCGACATCAAGTCATCTTGAACACGAGAGTGATGATTTTTAGAAAAGATTCAAATAAGTTTATTAGCATGGAAAGTTCCATTACAAGTTCATCACTTTATAATTTCGAGGCCAAAATCTGCCACAGCGAGGTAATGAACGCCCTCTAAGACAATCGGGTTACGATGATAGAAACGACATGGGAGCAATTAAGTTTTTTTAAAAAGTAATTCATTCATTACAAATGTTCATTTGATTAAAAAAGTCAATCAGGATGCACATAGGAAAGCCCACATGACGGAAAGAATGAATTAAATTTCACCTTCAGTAATATGAAGTTTTGACCACTTTATCATTATTGAATCATGCATAAGCTCACATAATCATGCATAAGCTCACAAGCTGACTGATCTTTCGTCCTCCATTCAGCCAGTTAGTCACGATTCTCGTAACTATATGGAACTTTCTTTTTTTCGCTTCTTGATGATATCTCATCATAGCCGGTTAATTTATCATTCGGTTTCACGCAAACCGGTCGTTCCATAATACTTTTATTTACTTAAAACAGTTTTTGCTCTCGTGTAAAGATGTACAACACCTGGATCTACCTCATTTCAATAAATTTTATTTAGGAAGCAAAACTGTTATTGTTGGTCTCATTCGCAGACAAAAATTACAAGGGTTGGCAACAATGCAAAGTTTTCTATAAAACTGAATCACCTGTTCCTCATGGTATTGACACTACCGAAAGCTATAATAACTTCGGTTACCAAGAGCTGCAGCGATCAAAGCTTGCAACGCGCCTTCTGGTAGTTGGAGGACTGACAGCAAAACGACGGCTGCCGAAAATGCATACGAAGATTATGGCAATACCTGTCAGCAACGAAGTTACCCGGAGGAAACAGACAGCATGATGCCATTACAGCATGTCAGCTAGAGCTCCATAAAAACGACACCGACGGCAAGAGCTCAGTTAAAATTTGGAAGATCTCACTCAAAGAGGAAAGAGTAAAACCAAGTTTATAACACCGCATGACACACAATGAATATAGTCAGATTATCGTCGCCCAAGCGCCACGGCTCTGGAATTCTGAACTTATACGTGTGGAAGTCATTCTGTTCAATGAGGCTTTCCGACCATGTTCGGCCCGGTGTTAGTGTTCTGATAGATCCAACCTGGCTGGCAAAGTCATTAAAATAAAGCTTCTCAACGGAAAAATAGCCATTCTCTGACATAGATTGCAACATTTGGTAGTTTCATCTACATTACAGGTCAGCGGATTTAATTCAGAGGGAGAATATGCGTTTTGTTTTTGAATGAAGTGTAGTGCTTTGGTGAACCAGCACTGAATCCTTCATTCTGAAGAACGATTTCATTGCGCATTTCGAAATATTTCAAAAAGAAAAGGCATGGTTAAGAAGAACGGTCCTAAGGATCTTAGTGATAATGGCTGTGCTATTGTGCCAATCAGCAGACTGTCTGATAAATACTTTTTGCATGCATCGTAATATACACACTGCACCTACCATAAGTAAACTAGTGGCAAATTCAGGCCTAAAAGTCGTATCCTCCGATTTTGTGTTCGCGTTTAGAGAGTCACAGAACTATTAAACGTGCCATAAAGTTTGCTGGAAAATATAATTCTTTTGTCATATTGCTGAAGAAGTAAATGTTTAACTTCAAATGTGATTATTAACCATTTCTGGTGCATTTAGACAAAACATAGGTGTAGTTCACAAACTGCGATTGCAGACGTAATAAAAATTCTAACCTAAAAATCATATTTACTACAACGTTTGTATCTGTCAGCCGGGAGTTTTAACTTTTCATCGAAAATGAATCCCGTGAAAAACCGTGAATATATGTACCAGCTTATTATCAGGTAACGGGAAATATTTATTCCTTGGCTTCAGTATTTCGATTATAAACGACAAAAATTCTGTGCATTTTGGAAAGTCCTGCTTTGGCAGGAAATGTTGGACTGAAGCTGCACGAGGATCGCTGCTTTTCCTTGGAGGGTCGTTTCCGGGAAGGTTGTTTTGATCTTTAGCATGCCACGTTCGCCACCGATTCTTTGAACTCGAAACCATGTTGCGCTTATTAATTAAAGATCAATTTTCCAGGCTGCCGATGACTATCATGTTTTAACGATTGCCTTCGCCTATACATGTTATTACAGAGATTATAGACGTTGCCTGTCATACTTGATACTTTATGAAGAAAGAATGGTCATAATATGTCTGAGAATAGTTTTGGTCTGATCGTTGTTCCAGATGTTCAGGCTCTGTTTTGCCGTCTATTATTTTTTATTATTAAGTATTCTCGTTTCGTTGTACAGTCATTGGACGCTTGCGCATATGTTCTCGAAAAGCAGGCAGTTAGATCTTCAGAAGGATTAACACAAAACGGTGGTGATGAGTCGAAAATTCAAAGGTTTCATTAAGACGAAGATTTCGGAGCCCTAAAGAAATGTTTAGTAAAAGTAATGGTTGTTCTCAAGCTGATAAAAAAACTCCAGTTCCTTAAGTTTCATATTTATTAAACCTTTGATTTTCCGTCTTATTGCCGTTTATATATACTCCTCGTATGTTTGATCCACTGAAAATATGCTGATTTGTCACAGTGTTATCCAGGCCACCCCACGATTAGAATATTTCAACCGTATATATCCTACTTTAAAATTAATTTCTTCGGTCAGTAAATCGTCCAAGGTTAGGAAAACCTTAAAATGCTATGGGCTAATTAAACACATCGTTTCCGTTTTGGAAAAGCCATGTCCTGTCAAATTTTAAGGAAAGTTATCAGAGTGGTTCCATATTAACGATGGAGTTCGTAGGTGAGGTTTGCTTTCGCTTCTGCTATTCAATATTGTTCTCGGCGTTCTTCTTCGAAACAGTGTTTAACCCTGGCCATTTTAGAGGGAAGGCTCTGTTCAAGATACCCGACTTGATGTCTTGCTGACATTGATGTTGTTCTCTTCTATACGGGAAGGGTTTCGTGACATCTGAAAGTTTCCATGTGCAACTCAGTTGCGAGAGCCGACTTCTCTCTTAACGCCCGGAAGTCAAAACTTATGAAGAATCTATCCTTCAAGCTGATCTAAGAATCGAGTACGAAAGTTGACCAGTTGAAGTACCTGGGCTTAATTATTTTCAGCCATCGGACCAGTTAAATTTGTAGAATCGCCCGCGTCCGTTTTCAGCGGGTTTTCTAAATAGTCCAATATTTGAGCTAAGAAAGGCGTAGCCCTTACATAGACATCCATCTGGACTTTGCTTCGGTCAGATCAGTTGTGCTGTTCGGCTCTGAAGCCA